GCGGGGGGAGGCCCCCCCCCCCGGGCCCGCCCCCAGCCAGTAGGAGCAGCCCCCTGGCAGGGCAAGACGCGTGCGCGCTCAGGGCTCGCCGTGCGCAAGCAATTTGCGCGCTCTTGGGTGCACTGCCTGAGAGCCTGGCGACCTCCCCCCGTCTCTTTGTGCCAGCTCCTGGGAAGAGTTAGGAGACCACCCCTGACCCACACTTCGCTGCTTACAGAGACAAGTCAAAAGCTGGCAGGAAAGAAGGATTATTATCCCTGGAATCCAGAGGGGAAACGGACACCTTTCCTCCAGGCCACACCGCAGCTGGGACTGAATCCAGATCATACCAGTCCAGGGCTGTAGCCATAAAACCACCCTGCCCCTCCGGGGGAATAGAGTCAGAAAGGCACAGAGACATCTATATTCATGGGTCTCTGTGATGGGCAGGAAGGCACTATGGGAGAACTAGTCATCTCCTCTGCCGTCATTCTACAGTCTGTGTGGAAAAGGCAGTTTTATATAATACATTCCTGAGGCAAGGAGGGAACCATGTTAACCCGCTTGTACTCCCTGCAGCTGAGCAAATCATACATTATATAAAGCAGTTTTGCATATTCAACCTGCTTGGAGGAGGTTTGCCTGTTCCCGGTGGGCTCCCTGAATTACAACATTCAAAGAGAGACTCCTCAAGTGCATAGAAATAAGGACTAACTGTGTGGAAAGCACCTGCTCTCAGGTATTTCAAACCCAGGAAAGGGGGGGGGGGCTATTTTGGATGAATTAAGAACGGCCATCTCAGACCAGGCCTATAAAGATGGCACAGCAGCTGTGTCATCCATTGCAAAGGCCGAGAATTTGCTTGCCAGCTCCCATCTCTGGCTGTATTGCAAGTGTTTTATAACTGGGTGGATTGTGCCCTTTGGCATTTAAAGTAAAAGTCACACTTATTGTGGAACACAAAAGAGCTAGCACATGGCCTTTGGATACCAAACAGAAGGGAGACCCCTTCAGTCACCATAGCAACAGACACCAACACACTGATTCTTTATGCAGGTCCAGGGCCAGAAACTTTTTTAAGGTGAAACAGCAAGCGGCACTCGAACATCAGAGCCTTTTATGCAAAGGTCCGATACTCGGTATCTATGCCCCATGCTGTTCCACGGATCGGCTAGCTCTAATAGCAGGGCTAAGTACCAAAATTAAATCCAAGGTATTTATTCAGCTGCACTTGTATCTCCCATTAGGCACGTTTGGGGACTGCATGTGAGATGGGACATTCATGCAGAGCAAAGGAAATGGGTTCCCCGCTCAACAGTCCTTTAAATGAGAAGGAAATGCAGCCCTCAGCACCTGTTCTGTGGATCCTGGGCTACTTGTGATACTGCTGTTGCTGGCAGGTGTCATCCATAACCCTAAGGCTGTGGCCAAGGTTTGAATGGAAGATCCATAGCTAAAGAACCTCCGCTTCTGTTCATGCCTTCATTTAGCAAGAGGCACCATATTTCATAGAATCATAGAACACTAGGGCTATGTCTACACTGGCATGATTTTCCGAAAATGCTTTTAAAGGAAAAGTTTTCCGTTAAAAGCATTTCTGGAAAAGAGCGTCTAGATTGGCACGGACGCTTTTCTGCAAAAGCACTTTTTTGTGGAAAAGCGTCCGTGCCAATCTAGATGCGCTTTTCCGCAAAAAAGCCCCGATCGCCATTTTTGCGATCGGGGCTTTTTTGCAGAAAACAAATCTGAGCTGTCTACACTGGCCCTTTTGCGCAAAAGTTTTACGCAAAAGGGACTTTTGCCCGAATGGGAGCAGTATAGTATTTCCGCAAAAAGCACTGATTTCTTACAGTAGGAAGTCAGTGCTCTTGCGGAAGTTCAAGCGGCCAGTGTAGACAGCTGGCAAGTTTTTCCGCAAAATCAGATGATTTTGCGGAAAAACTTGCCAGCTGTCTACACTGGCTGCTTGAATTTCCGCAAAAGCACTGACTTCCTACTGTAAGAAATCAGTGCTTTTTGCGGAAATACTATACTGCTCCCATTCGGGCAAAAGTCCCTTTTGCGTAAAACTTTTGCGCAAAAGGGCCAGTGTAGACAGCTCAGATTTGTTTTCTGCAAAAAAGCCCCGATCGCAAAAATGGCGATCGGGGCTTTTTTGCGGAAAAGCGCATCTAGATTGGCACGGACGCTTTTCTGCAAAAGCACTTTTTTGTGGAAAAGCGTCCGTGCCAATCTAGATGCGCTTTTCCGCAAAAAAGCCCCGATCGCCATTTTTGCGATCGGGGCTTTTTTGCAGAAAACAAATCTGAGCTGTCTACACTGGCCCTTTTGCGCAAAAGTTTTACGCAAAAGGGACTTTTGCCCGAATGGGAGCAGTATAGTATTTCCGCAAAAAGCACTGATTTCTTACAGTAGGAAGTCAGTGCTCTTGCGGAAGTTCAAGCGGCCAGTGTAGACAGCTGGCAAGTTTTTCCGCAAAATCAGATGATTTTGCGGAAAAACTTGCCAGCTGTCTACACTGGCTGCTTGAATTTCCGCAAAAGCACTGACTTCCTACTGTAAGAAATCAGTGCTTTTTGCGGAAATACTATACTGCTCCCATTCGGGCAAAAGTCCCTTTTGCGTAAAACTTTTGCGCAAAAGGGCCAGTGTAGACAGCTCAGATTTGTTTTCTGCAAAAAAGCCCCGATCGCAAAAATGGCGATCGGGGCTTTTTTGCGGAAAAGCGCATCTAGATTGGCACGGACGCTTTTCTGCAAAAGCACTTTTTTGTGGAAAAGCGTCCGTGCCAATCTAGATGCGCTTTTCCGCAAAAAAGCCCCGATCGCCATTTTTGCGATCGGGGCTTTTTTGCAGAAAACAAATCTGAGCTGTCTACACTGGCCCTTTTGCGCAAAAGTTTTACGCAAAAGGGACTTTTGCCCGAATGGGAGCAGTATAGTATTTCCGCAAAAAGCACTGATTTCTTACAGTAGGAAGTCAGTGCTCTTGCGGAAGTTCAAGCGGCCAGTGTAGACAGCTGGCAAGTTTTTCTGGAAAAGTGGCTGATTTTCTGGAAAAACTGGCCAGTCTAGACACAGCCTTTTAGATCCCTGAAAACTGCTATCATGTTCCCTCTCAGTCGTCTCTTTTCTAAACTAAACAAGCCCATTTCCTTCAGCCTTCCCTCATAGCTCATGTTTTCTAAATCTTTCATCATTTTTGTTGCTCTTTCCCCGACCCTTTACAGTTTCTCCACGTCTTTTGTGAAATGTGGTGCCCAGAACTGGATCCCATACTCCAACTGAGGCCTTGCCAGCACAGGGGGGAGCAGAAGAATGACTTCTAACGTCTTGCTCAGCAAGTTCAGCAGACACTCCAGGTCGGGGTTGAAATCTGCGGGGTATGGGGATACTGCGGGCATTACTGAAGTAATTAGTGATGGACTGGAGAAAGAGGGCGGGGAGTTCCTTTGGTTAACTGTTTGTCACTCAACTCTGAGCACAGCCCCAGGCAGGGTCTAGTCATTTTGAAGCTGGCCTGCAGGGTGGTTTGGGCTAATGTTTGCCGTTGGTTACAACCTAATTACTAGGATCCTATACATCGAAGCCACCAAAAACACAGATCAGGTGGAGCTATCACACTTGTGCATGGAGCAGTCAGTGATACTCCTCTCTCTCAAACAGACCTTCTCCGTGTGTCCCATTCAAAATATCTGCATCTTTGGCCCAATCGCCTTCAGAGCTAATTTCTTCCTGCCCATCTCGGCTTGGCGATCAGCCAGAACTCAGACCACTCACTGCTGCCAAGAAGTCTTGTTTCCGTTTCCTCTAGCCTCACACTGGCTGGCTTTTTCTTCATACCACTGACAGCCAATGCAGCCGCTTCAAATTCGTGTTCCTTTCACTGACTTGTTTGGCCTGACTCAGTGTAAATTTGAAAAAACAGCTACCATACCCAGCAGTGACCATGCTGTCATTAACTGAGAACTTCCTGCTTTGCACATGGGGGCTACACAGTACAAATTGCATTGATTTACTATGTGACCCTTGCAAAGCACAGTAGGATGTTTTTATATGAGGCACAGCCCAGGGCCAGTTGAGGGGAGAGAACTCTGCCTAATCATTTGCCATCTTAATTGACTTTGTTCTCTCCAGATGTTGTCCACACAGCTAGTGTGCGTGCCTGCTGTTATCCCGGGTAACGTGGTCCA